CATAGAGCCAGGTTGAATCCATTACATTCACTTACGTGCTAATACCCTTGGGAAAGGTGTGAATCCTCTTCTTCTCCTCCAGCTATGGGTTAAATAGCAGGACAGACTGGGTTCTATAGCCTTGGGTGGAAACTGGTCTAGGAGAAGGACAACTCTGAATTCAAAACCTGAGGAGGGGTTGTTTGGGGACCTTGTGGCTATAGTGCACCAGGTCTCTGTATTAACCCCTTCAAAAAACTGTGGATGGTCCTGCACAAGCCTTCACCACTATAATCGAATCTCATGTGCTGGTGTCGGGCTGTCAGTTTCCTGGAAACTGATCTGTTGACCCTCATACGTCGAACCTGACAGGAGAATTGATTTTTTATATATATATATATATATATATATATATATATTTTATTTATTAATTTTATATATCTCTCTCTCTCTATATATATATATATATCTATATACATATATTTATATACATATATATTTTACAATGTATATATCTATCTCTCTCTATATATATGTATTTATATACATATATATATATATATATATATTTCTATATATCTATCTCTTCCCCTCTCTCTCTCTATATATATATATATATATATATATATATATATATATATATATATATATATATATATGTGTGTGTGTGTGTGTGTGTGTATGTTTAAATCCATGTATGAAAATTAGTCAAAACTTGTTTAACCGAATTTTCTTAAATCCGATTTTTCAAATCGTTTTGAAGACAGCTGTGTATGGGATACAGTTTTACCTTTATTTGCTTTCTAAACAGAGTTACAACTAAGGATTTTACAAGTGAATGAATTTACCTTTGGTGTTGGTTGGAATGAGAATTGAGAAACTGATATAAAAAGCTGAAGTAATTTACTAGCAAAACCAGAGTACACATTTTTTTAATGACCTTTTGGAGAAATGAAAAGCATTTAATTACAGTAAAATAAACCAGTACCTGGAATTGTTTGTGTTCGAAATTAACATTTTTAACTAGTATGACTGAATAAAAAAGAAGTACCCACCCCTTGCCTACACTCGCCATTGGAAAAATGCCAATTGAGATAAACCAGCTGACTTTCAACTAGTTCTGGATTTGGCTAAAATTCAAAAATTGAGATGGTGTTATTTTTTTTTATTACTGAAACTTTTTGTCTTGATTCTCTGTTGAAGTCAAGAATTTGTTTGACCCTGCTGATGAGAGACTGGGGGATAAAGTCATTAAAATCCTTCCCTGTTATGCACAGCTGCAAATCAACTTGTAACTTGATGCTTGAAAGGATCATAGATAGACAGGGGGAGGGGAGAAGTACAAAGTATAAGTATAGCCCAGTCAGAGAGGCAGGAGACCCAAGATAGCAAAATGTAACAAGAACACTGGACATCACCACCTCTCTTCACTATGTAATCCACTATCACCAATAATTCCCAAGAGAATAATGTCATCAACTAAAAAGATTTTCCCAGTATGAGAATTTTCATTTGCAGATTGTTGAAATGTGGAAAGAATTGTTTGGTTGATTGATTTATTTTTTTATTATTTTTTATGGCATATCGTTGTAGCATACCTACGGATAATAATTGGTATGTCCCCATTCACATAAATACAGTAGTAAATACTTTATGTTGGTCTGTAATTGGAGATTCATTGTAGAATTCACTTGACTACTACTTCTATGCACTGCTGGTGAATCTTATATGTGTTGTTCTTGTCCTAAGTATTATCATTCATTACCAACCTTCATGGGATTATTCTATTCAGTAACTTTCCTTAGGTTACAACATATATCAACCCTTTGTGAGTTATTTAAAGCTGAAAAATTTCAGACTGTAAGATTAATTCCTTTTTTTTTTAAAGAATGATTCATACCTTTCCCAAGGCTATTTGTGCTTAAGTGAATGTAATGAACTTGACTGGAATTCAAACACAGTTTTCAGATTTCTCATTTCTTTGGCTATCCATTACATGACCAGCACATCCAAGAAGAGTTGAAGACCAGATTTTGGGGCAAATTTTATTTGCAGGGCTGTGACTGGATTCCTCTGTTTGAATTGTTGAACCAACTGCCTGTCACCAATACAAGGCATTGCTGTTATGATATATTGTGACTAAGACTGACATTTAACTAAACAGCTGGAAGAGACAGATCCACTCAGTGCAGAGACATTCAAAATACATCCTTGTGCAAATTAATTGAAACATCCACTTTAGTTTCCTTTCTTTCACCATACGGTTAGTTTTAGACCCACTGGAGTGACAGGGTGTATTTGGTTTCTATTTCTTGCTCAGATTTTGCAGTGGTGTGCAGTAATATGAATCTATTTTCAGGGTGCATGATGAAATTTGTTTGGCCTTGAAAAATATTGCATCATTTGTGATTGCATCAGATTTTTATCACGCCCAGACACTATTGTCCTGACTGTCAATTAGTTGTCCTATGGCTATTATCTGCGATGGACGTTACTCCAAGGAAGTGTACAAAAATTGTAATGCTGCATGAACACACTGGAAAGCCTTACCAGTGAGCAAATCAAAGTACTATAGACTTGCCCAGAAACTCTCCTGATTTAAATCGGATTGAGAATCTGTGTTCAATCTGCAAGGAACGACTCTGTGGAATGGACATATGAAGTACTAATGTGTGCACTGGGTCATGTTTCATTGGAAAAATACGAAAAAGAAGTAAATAATAACAGAATTATTTGTTTTGTTTCAATTAATTTGCACAAGGGTGTACTTTTTCAGGTTTCTGGCTAAAATTATTTAGGTTGAACAAAGTTTGTTTGCTTTTTTTTTATATGACCTGTATATTTCAAAGCTAATAAAGTGTTAGTTCAAGATTCAATCATCAGCAAAACACTAAAAAAAAACAAAAAAACAAATTCAAGAATGATTTCCATCTGAATTTCTGGGATTTGGAGCAATCATTATCTACATGATTTACATTTGAACTATTGTCCTCATCTTTGTTGTTGTTGTTTCAGGTTTCAGCTGTCGTCCCTCCTCCAGACTTCATCAGGGGTATATTGATCCAGGTAACCTACAGGGAATTCCAAACTGGACACTTTGTCAATTTGGTGACATTGTAATTGTGGGTTCAATCCCTAGGTTGGACATTGTGTACGTGGACTCGGTACAACCAGAGTGAGCAATCACTGAGCAGTAGTAAAAATAAGAACTAGATGAGATATCCTTAGATATGGGCACTAGAATGGGAACAGTCTACCTCTATAGATTAAATAAACAGTTCAGTAGTTTACCTGGACTGATATATACTAGATGAAGGATTGGTTTGGTTTGTTTTATGGTATATCAACCTCTATGGGTTAATTCTGAAATCTAAATATTTGTATACAATTTTATTTAGTTTTTTGTTTATTGGAAATAATAATGGTTTTAGTGATACAAGTCTTACTAATTAACCCATAGCTAGTGGGAGAAGAGGTATTTATACCTTTCCCGAGGGTATTTGTACATAAATGAATATAATGAACCCAAATGGAATTGGTACTTGGCTCTCCAATTAACAATTCCAAGGCATTATCCATAATACCACCTACACATTGAAGCTTACACCACCTGGTGTTCCCAAGCAGTCAAGATGGTACTGACAATGTTTGATGTTGTTTAACTTTAGTGATTGTACGATAACTGGTATTTCAATGTGATAAGGCCATAAGCCTCTATGATTTGAGATCTTGACAAAAAGTTTTCTCATTGGTGTGTTATAATAGCTGACAAAGAAAAATGTGGGAAAACCCTTCTCCCACAGCAACTGTACAATGTGTCGCATGCCCGAATAGACTATGCACTTTTTTTCATTCAATGAAAACAGGTGTGGCACTGATGTACTAGCTCCTGAGTGCCGACATGTGTTGGCTCAACTGCACCTGAATTGCAAGCACGGGAAAGGGCCATATGATAGATATATAAACACAAAACAAAGAGGTAGCAGGAGTAATCTGAGACATTTCAAGAGTTCCAGCATTGTCATATCTGCCCACTCTTTGATGATGTCTGACCAGCTTGTGTCTGCCTTTAACCGTCCCTTGCATAATGGTATTACAGAAGCTGTTATACTGTGTGACGTGGCCAAACCATGACATCATCTGATGCTTAATAGTGGCGAGAATAGATTCATGTCCATCCCCAAGACTTTTAACCTTGCTCTGTATATAGAGTCCTTGGTTTTGTGCTCCCAGTAGAGGAACTTTCTTGAGCATTTGCTCTCAAACACCTGGATCCTTTTTCCTGCTTCAACCAGGAGTGTCCAAGTCACACACATATAGAAAAGGATGGACAAAACCAGTGATTCGTAGAGCTTGAACTTAGTATGGCCATCGTTGCTGTGGTGACCTATGTGCGGATTTCTATGATGCAGGTGTCGTCTTTTGACAGGGTTGCCAAGTATTTGAAGCTCCTCCAGTTGTTCACTGTCCATGGTGATGCTGACACTGGTGTTATTCACTATTACTTTGGATTTTTCTATGTTGAGTTCCATCTCATATGCGCCAGATCTTTCAACAATTACCAGAGGGAAATTGTTAAGTTAAATATAAGGGAGATACAACCTAATTACACTATTTTAACTACCCATGTAGTAACAGTAAAAAGCTGTTACTTCCATAGTTAACCTTGACAGAAACCAATAGGTGCACACACGTTTTTGTTGATATCTATTCACCATCAGTGTGTTCTTATGAATCCTTGATGTGCTGTCATCTTGGGTTCATAAAATGATAAATGGTGCTGTTTACTGAAAATAACCCTGAACAGTTGTGCTTGGTGGTAGTGGGGGGGTTCAAGAGACATTACATGTTTAATTATCAGGTTTTTCTCCCCCCAACATATAATAATTGTTGCCAGGGATTGGGGGGGGGAGTTCAGACTTGTTTCCTTGATTTCATCCCAGCCATCCACCTAGCTACACTCTCAGAATTACAAGCAGCTGAAGAGGGTAATTTGTTTTTCTCTTTTCCTACCCATCACTTCAGGGAAGGAAAAATAAACCTTGGATATGGGTTGGAAAAGGTGTAATGTCGTTCCCTATCTTTGGGAGCCTTCTTGGCGTTTGCGGGTGTGCACATGTGGGTTCTGGCTTTGATGAGTTTGGTAATGAACTGGTTAGTTTCAAATAGGAAAAGGTTTCAGAGATTGGACTGTAATTAAGCCTAGAATCAGAAGAAAACGCCTGAAGAGAAGGTGAGGAAGAAATAGATGTATAGATGAGGGGGAGGGGCAGCGAAAAAGACCAGAAAAAGAAAGAGGATCTATTTTAATTACCTTCCCTCTCTACCAATTGCCTTTTCATTATCCGCTATTCACTATTGTAAAGCTTCAGGAGTACTTAAAACTTTATCTAAAAATCAGCATTAGCTTCATTGTGATGTTTCTTTAAAATAGGTCTCAAAATATGTTCAACATTTTCAGAAATTACAAGTACTTCACTAATTTTCTACAACCCTTGGTACCAGAAATTACATTAATTATTGAAGTTTGATCAGCAAGAGAAAAAAAAAAAACAAAGATACAAACTACAAATTGGAGATATCAACATCAAACAAGTACATAAGTTTAAAATAACTGGGAAGTGTTTCAACAGTGCAAAAGTTGCCTTCCAAAAGCTAAGCAAAGTACTTAGACACAAGAATATTTCATTAAAAACAAAGAATACTGAACTGTCATGTAGTATCAATACTCAGGAAACTGAAGACAAAATATTTCTTTGACATAATAAGGAAGGAAGGTTTGGATAATTTGATAAATACAAGGCCTGAAATTTTATTTACTAATTATTTTATTTTTCTTTTCATTAGGAGTAGATAGGTTCACATAACACCCAGTTCACACTCTTTCCAAGTCTTATGAAGAGGCATAAATGTTTATCTTTTGTTCCCTGTTTAGGATTGGATTTCTGGTTTCTTCAAAGATCTTTTCATCCTTTTTCACTCCCAGTTGTCTCTTGTGTCTCAGTGACATGATTGCCTTGCTTGGGGTGAATTGATTAAAAAAAAAAAAAAAAAGAGGAAGAGGACGACAGTGGAAGGCAGTGAGTTACCGACCTAACAATCTTGTAAGAATGAAGATCAGAAAAGAGCATGGGAATCACAGAAAAGGGACAAATGTTGCTAAAAAGGGTAGGAGGCTGTGGAGAACCATGATCAATCACATTCTGAAAGGGAATGTTACATAAAAGAAGTTGGTTCCAAAAAGTCATAACAACAATTCAACAATACACCTCTGGCACAATTATCTATCAAATCTCTACAGCAATGACCATTAGAAACAGATAAGGTATCCTTATGAAATACAATGCCATCTGTGGCCATATGGTGAATTAGTGTTGCAATCATGCAAAATTCAAATAAAATGGTGCCAGCCTATCAGTTGTTGGGAAATTGATAGTGTACCTGTATTACTTTATTACGAATTTTATTCCATATTATCGATGCATTTTTCTGCCAATATTCCAGCTTAATGAGTTACCTCCAAAAAAATATGATACCTCAGGTTTAAAATGAATTTTATTTTAGTTTTAATTTCAAGCTACTAGATTAAATTTAATATTTCTAATGAGCAAAATAATTTGCTGTATTTCAAAACTAATTTAAATTGACTGGAAGGAGGGTTTGTTTTTTTTTATTTTGAAATATTGCTGATTTTAATGCCATTTTTAGTCATCTGTCTGCACAATGTAATTCACAATATTAAAAAAAAAAGTTTTCAAAAATAAAATATACTTCTCTGAAACTTGAGAAATATTAGCGGATTTAAAGTTTAATTAATCTGATTTGAAACAAATATTACTTTTAGTTTAAAATAATTAGTCAGAAATTTAATTTTTTTCTATAGGGGACACATTTGTAAAAATTACTTGAGGAATATAATTTTATATAATTTTTAACTACTTAGTAATCTTAAATATCTAGGAAAATATTCTCTGTAATCTAATGTTTTATTGAATTTTAGGAACTTTGGATTTAAATTTACTATAGTTACCGCTTTTACTTTCTGATAACATCGTGTATGAATGTATGTATTTAGAAAAATTGGCACATTTATACACACACAAAAATTACAAATATTTTTTAAAATATTGAGGGTGGGGGGATGCTGAATTGTAGTAAACTCTACCATTTATGTTTAGTAAATATAGTTTTTACTTAATAGCAATATCATTTAACCAGTAGAAATTAATACAGAAATTTAAAAGATTTAAAATATTATTTACATTGCTTGGATTATCATCCTGATCTTTGTTACTATATTTATCACAATGTTACGGTCGTTTTACACTCTGGCCTTCTTCAGGTGGTTGGAATGCCGAACTGAACCCTTTATTTCGCTCACTGGGGTAGACTGTTCTAGTTCTACGTGCCATGTCTAATGGAAGTCAGCTATCAGTTATCTCCTGTTAATTCCCCTCTCCAAGTTCTCCACTTCCTTAACCGGGTATTGAACTCACACTCTTTGGGTCCTGTCACTGGATCTAACTAACGCCTTTATCCACTGTGACATGTGTCCCTGATGAGGATGATAGTCTGAGCAATGTACATAATACCTCATCTCAGAAATATAGACAGATATTTAAAACTTTATAAATTATTCTAATTATTTTTTTTTTAAATTTTTAAAAAATTCTTGTAAAAATTTATTATTCATTGAAAATATTTTTTTTAAGATAATAGTGTCCATAATATATCTGTCTTATTCATAAAAGCAATTAAAAGCTCTTCTAATTAAATAGTCTCAATTTTATTACCTTTCTTTCTCAAAATTTCATAAATTAAATAAGTGGTGGGGGAACGACAGATGTCCCCCACCCCCCCAAAAAAAACAAAAATAATGTTTTTACAAGATTTTCTAAAAAAGAAACATTTTTAAAATAATTTCATTCATTTGTGAATAAATCCTGAAAGTTTCATTAAAATCCGATTATTATTTGATTTCTGCAGAAATTTCTAAATCAATGTGTTTTCACGACAAAAAGATGCTAAAATTTTCTATACTAATCTTTTGAACAATTGTCTGACATAAGAAAGCCAAAATTTTGAATGTTCTGTAAAGGATCAAAAATAAAATTTAATAATGATAAAAAATCCTTTAGGCTTTCCTCTTCATAATAACAAAGATTTTGACAATTGTTTTAAGTTTGGGACATTTTTTCATCATGTATGCTCATTTTTTAGTGAATCTGTTGAGATGACTAAGCTTAATGAATTCTTCATTATTACTATTATTTCATTACAAATTTACTAACTGTATAAAAAAGATAAGAATATTAGAAAATGTTCAAATATGTGCAGTATCAGTGCAAAGGAGAAAACTTTCAGTAAAGGTTACAGACAAAAGAAATAATTAGTAAGTAAAGCTGTGCTCTGTTTTATAATTGATGCTTTTTGATCTCAACACATGCTTCATGAAGACTATTATTATCATCAGTTTTAATTCATTACTGCTGCTTTTTTAATGAAAACCATCTGGTATAATATAGCCTGCATTTTTGTTACTGAAATACACAGATCAACCATTAGTCACACCCATATACAGTGTAACCCGGATATAAGAGAGTTGTCGGGACCAGAGAAGAAGTCTCTTATATCCGGGTTTGGTCTATTTTATATACATTAACATAGGCTCTAATTTGGGACCAGAGAAAATCTCTTATATCCGGGTTACACTGTAAATAGGTATATCAATAAATCTGGAGACCCCACTGCACTCAATTTTTCATCTTATGTTATGCTTCATTTGTCTTTTGAGTCAGGTGTCAAGAGTCAAAACTGGAAAAGGTATGGTAAATGTTCACAAAAAAACTCAGACAGGTGAAATAAAAAATGCAATATATTTGGTTGTTTATTCTGCGATCCAATCAACACAGGCTGGGTGGTGGGTATTGACACTTGGGGTACCATCTACTTTTGTCACAACAGGCTAACACATCAGCTCACCCCTTGAGTCAGCAAGGACTTTGACTCTTTAGTCACCCCTCTGCCCATCTCTATTCTATATCACAACATGCAGCTCAAAACCACTATTGGGAATCCCAGAACAACTCTCCAATCTAACTGTCAATCTGCCTAAGCTTGCAAATAGAACTTGCTAACTTTCAGCCAAGTGAAAGTTTTCATTTCTCTATTTTCTTTTGGTTAGTGTATGGCCATCTTTGAAGATCTTACTTCACAGACTTTACTGTTGGTCATAAAAAAACACTTCAGGCTCACATATAATCATTTACTGTCCACTTCTATATGGTTGTCCTGTTCAATACTTAAGGCCTTTTTTCATATATTCAACAATGTGGCTGGACTAAACAGTCATGGATGACTTGACTAAACAGAGTCTTGGATGATGTGATAGGACATGATAGATTAGGTTGATTAATGACATATCAACCCGTGTTATTTTATTTAATGGTGAATACAAGTCTTATTAAACTAAAATTATAATGAATTAATAAAGAGACAGAGAGTTCAAATCCTCACATTGACTACTGAATTCATTTTCACACTAATGTCTTTTGTAAAGGCACAAATCCATCTCTTTTTCCTCCAGTCCTGGGTATGACGAACTACATCTGCGTCCTGGGTACGACAATAAACTACATCCAACAGCAAGGCCTCTGATCAGGAGGTTTTGAGGAGCATGGAGCCACCTCTTAATTGCTGGTGTTCCCAGGTCCACCCTGACATGGGGTAGTAGCACCTGTTAGGGTCCCAGCTATGGGCAAATAGTTAACACCCAAACTGAGGTCAAAATACTATGAAAGTATAAAAATAGGTTTTAATACCAGAAATAATTTGTAAAAAAATATTACCAGCAATAAATTTTTGAAGAAAAAATTATTACTAGAAATAGATTTTTGAAGGAACAAAAATATTACCAGCAATACATTTCTCAAAAAAAAAAAAAAAATATTATCATCAATAAAAAATTTGTTGGCATTAAATAAACCATAGAGGTCGATATGCTGTAAACCAAATCAAACCAATCTTTTTTTCTCTAGCTGGGGTTAAATAACAAAGTAGACAGGACTCTCTAACCTTCCATTAGCAGCCAGTCTAGGAACAGGACTACTCTGAGTTCAACATCATGGAAAAGGCAATAGGTAATCAGTCCACTATCTTTCCTAAGAATACACAGAAGTTCACAAATAATAAAGAAATCTGTGGGAAATCATGACCGTCTACATCTTGACGAAATGTCATAAAAACCCAAAAAACAAACACAATATGTCCACTATTTACATTATTCAGACTATTGTCCTCATCTTTGTTGCCATATTTATCATAACGTTTTGAGGAGAACATGACTAAAGACTGTGTGTACGCCATCCTGTACAGCTGTGGAAAGAATTATAGAGGGGAGACAGGCAGCCCTCTTAAGGTAAGGCTTCAAGAACACCAAAAAGATGTAACACAAGGGGAAGTGAAAAATCAGGCATGGTTGACCACATATGGAGTCAAAAGGGAGATCACTGCCCTCTGTGGGATCAGGTTGATATCATAGACAAAGAATATAATTGGAAAATTTGTAAACTTAAGGAATCAGCACATATGCTAGGCCATAAAAATCTCCTGAGTCGACCAAGCATAGAAATGAAAACAATATGGGAACCAGTAATAAGGAGTGCCAGAGAAAAGCAATAATAACAATGAACATTTCAATATGAGCTCTGGTAAAAAACATGAAATGATAACAGAAAAAATTGCAATATGAGCACTGGTAAAATGGTAAAAATGATTGCTGAAGACATTAAGTTTATAAGTCCCAGAAATTCATACACAGATGTCCTTAAGGACACATGGCACAGTGGATAAAAGTGTTGGTTAGATCTAGTGACAGGACCCAAAGAGTTGAGAGTTCAATACCTGGTTAAGAACTTGGAGAAGTGAATTAACAGGAGATAACTGATAAATGACAGTCTACCAGAGCGAAATAAAGAGTTCAGTTCGACATTCCAACCATCTGAAGAAGGCCGGAGAATATGGACGAAATGTGATAAATAATAGTCTGAATAATGTAAATAGTGTACATAATACCTTATCTCAGAAACATAGACATATATTTATATTTGCTATACACCTCCACCTGACAGTATACAGTATTAAATATGCCAATCCACTCAGTCAGTCCAAAATATGCTCATTCTTGCTAGTCATATTAGCAGTTTTCACCTTTTGTTATGGTAGCACCAAATGCCAACTGAAGGCAGATGTCTTTTGTCCATTGAGGTTTCCACTGTTACTGGACACCTGATAAAGTTGATTAGTGCTGATTTGTTGTGTAATTGCCAAAACATGTCTCTTGAAGTACCCTGTTGCACAATTTGGCAAGCCATAGTTTTTGGTTTTCTGGAAGCTTACTCAAAAGGCAAACAAATTATAAATAGAGAAGTAAAACAAATGCCAGGGTAATAATCCTCAGCAATAGTATAGGTTGTCCAAGAAGCTAACAATCACTCTTGGTTGAATTTTCCACTAAGATCTTGAGGTACCACAAAAGGGATAATTGCTATATTAGACGAATGTGTGTGAGTTGGTATTTTCTTTGACCTGAGAAAAAGATAGGGCGACAAAGTTCTCTTGCAGCAAGAGATTCTGCAAACTGGGCCAACTCACTCTGAAATCTGTGTGCAACTGTAGGTGAACTAACTGTACAGTCTTCAGGCCAATCCTGTTCTCACTCCCTGTCTATTCTGTAGCAACTGACTACACAATCCCTATGTGTATTCTAGGCTGACTCCTTACTACATGACTGTGTGCTTTGGTTGATATATACTTCCACCTGGCAGATGGCATTGATGGCTACTATCCCCAAACAAAGAACTTCCTATTACTGTGTATGCGATCCATACTTCCAAAGTACTTGAGATCAGACATTTTAGAAAGAAATCAATGCAAGTCTGCTAGGTAGAATGCTAAGTAAACATTTCTTAATTTTGTCTAGGTTTTGCAGACTTTTGGTAAATATGTTAATCTTATCACTGCAACTTCTTCAGTTATGAGAAGTGGTGTACGGAAAATTTAGTTGTACTGAATTTACTAAATCTGACTAAAATTATTTTGGGTTCTTTTACCACCAATGCCATTCTAAGCATTTTATAAGTTCTGGTTAATATTTATAAAATGAGCTTTCTGCCATCAGATTCTGATCTGATTAATTAGTCTTGTATAATTTTTTTTCCATTTGGTATTTTTTTTTATTTATTATTATTCCTTCACCTAGTATTCTAGGCTCTCTCAATATCTCAATTCACTTGACAATATTTCATATCCTGTTATGACTATCAGGGTCACAGCTCTGTTATACTGCAAGCCTCCCACCTAGAGAGTGGCTCCTTTGGAGTGCTCTTACCTCTATCACATGTGCTGATGTAGTGTTGACCGAAGGAATATGTACCAGGTGTAACAGCAAAATTGTCCAAATTGTGTAACAGCATGGGATAATTGTCCATTCCATAAAATGTTTAATATCTAAAAAACCACAAAACTAATTTAGTCTTTATTTTTCTCTCCCGGTTTTCAGATGAGACGGTTAGCCATCTTCACACCATTTGTCATAAGAATCACTGAAAAACCCTTCGGGTTATTCAGATGGAAAGAGAACAGGCTAAAATCATTTTGTGTCAGCCCCACTATATCTTTCCAACTGAGCAATGGTACAAGGAAAAAGATCATTCAGGCCTTCAGTAATGGAACAAAGATTCATACTCTGGCTTCCATCTTCAAAGTCCATTCAAGATCCATCAAGAGAACGGTAAATAAGTTTAAAAAAGAGGGAGCATTAGAGAGGAAAACTGAGTCAGGTGATAACATCAAGAGGGATCAAGCATTTCAACTTACAGCTAAATACATTTTTATTGCAGAGTCCAATAGTGTTATAAAAACCTCAGAGAATTTCAGTAAGATATCTTTAATCATTTCTAAGATACAACAGTTCAAATTCGATGTTACACAATTTGGACAATTTTGCTGTTACACCTGGTATATATGTAAAATGTGACAAGTATTTGTTATTGGCATTTATGTTCAGAGAGAATTTGTGCAGAAGTTCTTGTTGGCTTTTTGAGAATGAAGAGGTTTAGGCCATAGTTATGGTGCAACTTATACTATTGGAAGTGGTCAGAGGATCCAAAATAAGTAAAACTTGTCTCTTATTCAACCACTAAAAATAAAGTGAGTTTATTTTTTTTATTATACGAATACACCCAATACAAAATAGAGGGTTAGTGAATGTGGTGTATGAGAAGAGGTAAAGGGAAGTGAGGATAAGGAGGATAGATATCAATTGACCCTTGACTTGGGTGTTCAAGGAAGCATTCATATGAGAGTATGTTCCTCAAAGTAACAGCTCTTGGAGGAAAAAAGCTACCTGAATAGGGATACCTTTTTATAACTGGAATACAGCAGAAATGATTTGACTGTGTATGTAGCATGGCATGTTTTTTGCTGTAAAAGTCTGAACTTCTGAAACTAAAGAATGGAGCTCATCTGAAGCTTCGTGATAGATTGGTTTGGTTTGGTTTACGGCATATCAACCTCAATGGGTTATTTAATGCCAACAACTTTTTTTCCTGGTAATATTTTGTTTTATCAAAAATCTATTTCTGGGAATATTTTTCCTTGAAGAAATCTATAACTGGTCATATTTTTTTTCAAAGAATGTATAGCTGTTTGTATTGCTGGTATTTTTTTTTTTTTTAAGTATTGCTGATAATAATTTTCCCTTCAAAAATTATTGCTGGTAATAATTTTTTATTTTATTACAAAGTATTTCTGGTATTAAAACATATTTTTAAACAAGTTTGGGTGTAAACTATTTGCCCATAGCTGGGACCCTAACAGGTGCTACCACCCCGGATCAGGGTGAACCTGGGAACACCAGCAATTAAGAGGTGGTTCCACACTCCTCAAAACCTCCTGATCAGAAGCCTTGCTGTTGGACGTAGTTTATCGTCTTACCCAGGATGGCTTTGTGATAGAGTAGTGATAGGCTTGCAAGGTTGTGTTTGTGGGGGAAGAGACTATAGAGTGGGAAAATAAGTCAACGGAAGAATATAAACTGTTGTTATATTTTGCTATTGTTAATCACAAGATCACCAGATGTTACAGAACATTTCATTGTTTCACAGCCATCAAAACCAGTTTTACAATTTCCAGAGATAGGATTCTTGCATTATCAATAGAAAAAAAAAAAAACACTAGTAGATGAATACCCACTTAGATTTCAATGAGCAACAAAAAAAGCCATGTTTATTGTTTTGGGCTTCTACAGTTTGCAGTTATTCATTCTCCCTTCCATATCTGCATGCATTTGTCAAAGACTTGAAGATAAAATCTGACAGCAGAGCAATTGAAAGGTATGCAGGACAACAACCACACTTCCTCTTCCCATCTTCTGCTACTGTGTCAGACATTAGGAATTTCTTGGCCTGTGGTGAGCTATTAGCTCTGGTCCCCAGGGTGGGGGGAGCAGATGATGGTCCAACTAGAAAGGGGATAAGAAGAAATACTTCCAGTGTAGATTGGTTGGTTGGAAGGGGTGAGAGGAAAGAGAGATCAATAAAAACAAACAGAAAGGAGAAACTTTTTTTTAATAATGGGGGAGGGGTAAAAAGAAAAGTACAAAGAATGAAATGAGTCAGAAAAGAAAAAGAGATTAACTGGAAAGAGAAGGAGAGATGAACTGGGAACAAGAAAAAAGAGAGAGAGAGAAAGGCAGAATCTAGAGAAGAACTACTACGGGAATGAGAGCTGGAGAGTTTGCTGGTGGGTGGAGAAAGGTAGAGAAAAAGAGATTCTGGAGAAGATGAAAAGGAGGAAAGAGAAAGAGAGAGAGTTTGACAAAGAGAAAGTTCAGGACACAAGAGAGACTGAGAGATAATCTGAAGAAGAAAGGCTGGAATGAGAAATGGAGAATCAGAGAGTGTTGGGAACAAAAAAAAAATGTAGAGAGAGAGAGAGAGTAGATGGATAAAGAAAACCAAGGATAGGATTAAGGGAGTCTGATAGAAAGGCATGAATAAGGGAGAGAGAGAATGACTAAAGGAAATGAAAGAAAGATTTATGAAAAAGAAAGGTTTGAGAGAGAAAGAGAATGTTTAGCATATATATATACATATATATATGAATAACCAAAGAACAAGACTTTACAGAAGATTAAAGGCAGTTATAACGAAAAAGAGAGTTTGGGAATGAACAAAAAAAGGAAAAGGAAGAATAAAAAAAAAGGAAAAGGAAGAATAAAAAAAAAAAGGAAAAGGAAGAATAAAAAAAAGGAAAAGGAAGAATAAAAAAAAAAAAAAGAGAGTCTTGGAGTGAACAAAAAAAGGAAAAGGAAGAATAAAAAAAAAAAGAGAGTCTTGGAGTGAACAAAAAAAGGAAAAGGAAGAATAAAAAAAAAGAGTCTTGGAGGAACAAAAAAAAAAAAGGAAGAATAAAAAAAAAGAGTCTTGGAGGAACAAAAAAAGGAAAAGGAAGAATAAAAAAAAAAAAAAGAGTCTGGGAGGAACAAAAAGGAAAAGGAAGAATAAAAAAAAAAAGAGAGTCTTGGAGTGAACAAAAAAAGGAAAAGGAAGAATAAAAAAAAGAGAGTCTTGGAGTGAACAAAAAAAGGAAAAGGAAGAATAAAAAAAAAGAGTCTTGGAGTGAACAAAAAAAGGAAAAGGAAGAATAAAAAAAAAAAAAGAGAGTCTGGGAGTGAACAAAAAAGGAAAAGGAAGAATAAAAAAAAAAAAGTCTTGGAGGAACAAAAAAAGGAAAAGGAAGAATAAAAAAAAAGAGAGTCTTGGAGTGAACAAAAAAAGGAAAAGGAAGAATAAAAAAAAAAAAAAAGAGTCTTGGAGTGAACAAAAAAAGGAAAAGGAAGAATAAAAAAGGAGGAGGAATGCTCTTTAAACAAGACATTCCAATTTGTGAATGGATTTCAGATGAAAGAGGTGGGTGGTAAAAAATGGGTTGGGCGAGATAAATAGCTTCATATATTGATCTGTGCAGATCAGGAGGAAAGGAGTGTTGGGGTTGGGTTTAGTTTGTGGCTAATAATAGTTAAGGCAGGAGCATCAATGTGAACAATTCATAGACTGGGTCAGGCAAGTGCTCAGTGAGAATTTACAACTTCTAGGTTGGGGGTATTGCTCAGTTAGTACCACTGATGCAAACTATAAATTAAAGAGATGCCAACATCAAACAAGTACAGAAGTTTAAATATCCGTGAAGTGTTTTCACAGATAATGCGACACCGAGATATGAATGTGCATTGGAGTAGCAAATGATGTACTCCAAAAAGTTAAGCAAAGTAGTTAGAAACAAAAAAAAGAGTATTGAACTGTTATGTAATATCGATTCTTTCGCATGACAGTGAATGATGGCCAATCTCCTAACAAATGAAAAGATACAGGTAGCAAAAGAAATGTGGTTTAACAGATGGATGATAAGAATTCCAGGTAAGTAATGAATAAGTATTAAGGAAATTTTTTTTCAAAAATGTATAGCTGGTAATATATTTTTTAAAAATGTATAGTTTGGTTTGTTTTGTGGCATATTAACCTCAATGGGTTATTTAATGCTGACAAGATTTTTATTTCTGGTAATATTTTCTTTTTTCAAATATTTATTGCTGAGACTAATTTTTTTTTAGAAGTATTTCTGATATTAAAATCTGTTTTTACACTTCCATAGTGTTTTGAGTCAGGTTGTGGGGTCAACTATTTGTCCATAGCTGGGACCCTAACAGGTGCTACTACCCCGGGTCAGAGTGGACCTGGGAACACCAGCAATTAAGAGGTGGTTCCACGCTCCTCAAAACCTCCTGATCAGAGGCCTTGCTGCTGGACGTAGTTTATCGTTTTACCCAGGACGCAGATGTAGTTTAGAGTAATACCCAGGATGGTATGGAAAATGGAAAGAAAGACAACTTACACTTAGAATCAGAGAAAGCCGACATTTCTTGGACACATAATGAGGGAGGAGTGCTTGGAGAATTTGGCACCCACAGGACATACTGAAAGCAAAAGGGACAGGGGAACACTCTGCGCTACCCACCAGACAAGCTTGTGTGAATTGATAGCAGAACAGGCATGAGAGGGATAACAAAGGAGCATGTACTGATAAGCGTTATAAGGGATTGAAGGATGTGGAGAGCCATGAATGTCCATGTCATTAAGTGACATGGTACAAAGAACAGGATGCCACTGAAAAGATACCTCAAAAATGGAGATTTCAAATTAAATCATAAAGTTTCTACTTCTTTAGTGTAATTACTAAGAACTTAACCAAGTAAATAAATTTGCAAGAAATTCTACAGTTGTTTGCGATTAAAGTTATTCACTACGTATCTTCTCATTTTTCCCTTATCCTGTATAATCTTTTTTACCTATCTATGTTTTTATTCTATTTAAGTTTGGTTCAATAATGAACCCATTGCCTGAGTAATGAGGATCACAGTTCAGATATGCCAAAGAGGCTATTTATGGACCTTCTATGTTTTTTTTTTAATCAAATTCACGCCAAGCAAAGCAATAAAGCCCATAAGACACAAGTGGTTACTGAGTGTAAAAAAAAAAAATTAGAAAATAGAAACATAACTAAAGAGCAAGAAAAACAGAAGATTAATCAGGAAGACAGTAGATAAAGATCAACATTGCATTTAAATTTTTGAAGATCAAAGTTGGCCAGAAAGCATGGAGCTCGAAGAGAGTTCCACAAGCGAGAAGTGCGATAGAAGAAACTGCTGGCATAGAACTTACGGTCACATCTATTTCAATTCTAAATTGATGAAACCTGGTTGCCAATCTAGTACTGCGCTTAAATTCATAAAGTCTAGGTACCATAGTGAAAAGCTCATCTGAACAATTACCATGAAAATATTTATAGAAAAGGCACAAGTAAGCAACTTTACGGAGGTAGGAAACGACTGAAGCTGAGATGCCAAGTCAAGAACAATAATATTGCTGATTCTTCTTTGGAGTTTATCAAAAATCTCTAAATATATAACAGGAGCACCAAACCATATGTGGCGGCAATATTTAAAGTATGAGCAAATATAATAAAATTAGTTCTTGAAAGAACCATATGCAAAGGTTGCTAAGATAACAATGTATCTTCTATTTGTCACATAATTTTTATTCTAGTATCTTGCTATAATTTTGTTCTATTTTATTATTAGTTAATATCTTATGTTACCTATAAGATCTATGTTAAGTATGGTTTGCTTTGCTTTAAACTATGTCCAGCAGCAAGGCCACTGATCAGGAGGTTTTGAGGGGAGTGGAACCACCTCTTAATTGCTGGTGTTCCCAGGTCCACCCTGACCTGGGGTGGTAACACCTGTTAGGGTCCCAGCTATGGGCAAATAGTTAACTATTACCTGCTATACCTTTTGAAAACAAAATATTACCAGCAATACAATTTTGAAGGAAAAGTATTACAAGAAACAAATTTTTGACAAAACAAAATATTACCAGCAATAAAAAATTTTGTCAGCATTAAATAAGCCATTGAGTTTGATATGCTGTAAAACAAAATAAACCAAACCAATCTAAACCAAACAATACATATTGTATTCATACAAATCAATCCTAAAAATGTTGTTGGCATTAAATAACCAATTGAGGTTGATATACTGTGAAACTATATAAACCTAAACCAATCTTTTATTACAGTGTATTTTTATAATTGCTCTATTTTATTATTAGTTATTGCTTTTAATATTTTAAGATCTATGGTAAAATGAAATTCTATCAAATAACTTTTATTAGAGCGTATTGTTATAATTGGTCTATTTTATTATTATTTATTGTTGTTAATGTCTTACGGTGCCTAATAAGATCTGTGGTAAGAATAATTATTCCTTCAAATAACTTTTATTACATCATATTGCTAGAATTGTTCTACTTTAATATTCAGTTATATGCCATGTGTGAAACATGCTTAGGCGATCATGTAACATTTGATACATGACTGACAAGGCAGATTTTTTTTTCTTGCCAAGATCTAAAGGGTTCATTTGTTCTACCTTGAGTGGCTCTTGGGCCTTGTATTTGATCAATAATAGTGTTAAAAAATGATGCCTGCAAATATTGATTCTTAGCTTGTAAGAATTCTCTTTAGCTTTCTGCCAAGTTTGAAAATGCCAAGGAATATGGGAATCACAAGACAAAAAAAATCTTGCAAGCATAACAACATTAGGCAGTCATGCTCAATAGAAGAGGGAACAATGGGGGTCAGGAGATGATATATATATATATATATATATATATATATATATATATATATATATATAGTTGTGCTCACTCATTTTTTTCATTTGAAGGCATTAGAAACAATCTATGTCAGGTCCAGACACGCATCCCTCTGTAAACAGAGGGAGTGTCTATTAGGACTTGACATTATTTCTATCTAGATCAGTGATTTTCAATGTGGTCCACATAGCATTTCTAGTGGTCCACAGAGAATTTGTAGCCATAAAAAAATTGTAGCCATTTCACAATAATGTATCTACATTATACATAAATTGATGAATTAAAAAACATAATATTTTGTTTAATTACACACATGTCCATTATATTTGAAAATTTCAAAATTATGTAGGTATTATGCAGTGCTATATATATATATATATATATATATATATATATATATATATATATATATATATAAAAAATCAAATTTGATTTTGATATCCTATTTATCCTTGTTTACTAAAATAAATTTTGAAGTGTAAGTAGACAACTTTGTTTTTTTATTTGAGTATTTTAGTATGAAAATTGAACAGCCAAAAAATAAATGTAGGAGTGGTCCATTTGATTTTTTGAAGAAAAAATGGCTCAGGGGCTGAAAAAAGGTTGAGAAGCACTGATCTAGATTGCTCCACCTTTAATATCATACATTACATGTCTTTTATGTTTTATATCATGACATTTATTCCTTCGATTTCAGCTCTGTTAAGTGAGGGTGAAACCAGTTGGCTGTTTTTTCGGGTTTTTTTTAATCATAAAGGGTAAAATTAGTCTTAAACTTTTTTTCTATAATAAAGTTCTGTACCCCTAAGAAAATTAACATACATATATATATATATATATATATATATATATATATATATATATATATATATATATTAATCCCACTGGGAATTTCAGGGAAATAGGGTGGATTTGAGATGAAGGGACCTCAAAGTTTCATCTTGTTAGCTGACTTGTTCATCTCCCAGCAAAGAGGAGTTCTTATTCAAAGGGGCTGCAAATTCACTTCTTAGAGAATGGGTCACGCACACACATATGGTGGGGGTGGGCAGAGAAAGCTTGGCAGCATTGTTGGTGGTGGTGAGTTTATCGTCAGTAATGCTGAGTCATTGCTGCAGAGAGCTGAGACCAAACAAAGAGGAAAAGGGATTCTAGCCAAAAAAGCAGGTGAAGTAAAAACATTTGCTTACAAGAGGATATTTCCTAAGGTGAACTTTGCCTAGTCTGGTACAAGGCTGCAACAAAGTGATTCCCAGCCCTTAAACTCTATTAGCAAAGGCTTGAAAGTACCTTTCTAATTATTACAAATGCATTAAGGTACTAAGGTACTAAGATAGGCTGACACAAAGCCATAACTGAGGGGTACCCAGAAAGCTTTGGAGGTAGAGGAGACCAAACAGTCACAGGCATGAAATCGGCAGACTGAGTTCAAACTCCTGCTGAGAGAGAGTGTTTGTGTTGGTAGTATAATGAATAGAGGCATTGAGAGTGTAATTGGCAAGTCATATTCCTGCATTGTCTGTTGCATTCACTTTTACACAAAGGCATGTGGGGAAAAATATGAACCCATCTCTTCTCTCCCCACCTGTGTGTTAAATAAAAGGGTAGAATGGGCTCTCTAGTCTTGGATGGCAGCCAGTCAAGAAGAATGAAAAACTGACCTCC